TATTAAAGTGACATCTTACAAAACTTTGCCTAAAAGGCCATTTTTCTGTAACGGAACGGTAAGGTTATGTTAGTTTAAAAGTGTAATGAGCTGTGCGTACGCCAGCTAATATAGTAGCAGCGATTCCACATGTCGCTACTGCCAAAGCTAGTTTTCCCTGAGACCTTACTTTTGCTAATATAATATTAGTAGCTAATGAAAGGTTTGCCGGTTCCCCTGGAGCATCCAAAAAAAAATTTTTCCCTCATTGAAACAACACTGAGCATAACACTATTGTTTGCCATTACCTGGTCATTAAAGAACTTGGGTGCATTTACAGTAATATACTCATTTAATTCATTTACATCGTATGACTTCCGCAACGACATTTCCAAATTAAGATGTGTGTTTTTCCTTGGATTTCCCTTTCCTTAGCAGAGTTAGTTTAGAAATGTATTTCTTATACTCTTCAAACATCTTATACTTACAATCATCAACAAATATATTATAAAAAACTCTATGGTCCATAACTCATTAATAAGGTACGAACTCTTAACATCTTACACACATGATAACTTTTAAACGATTGAGAGATTGAGAGGAAATAAAAAAGTATTTTAAAATACTTCTAAATAAATACTCTTGATAACATAATGCTTAATTCCAATAAAGAATAATATTACGATACATATTTAACGCTTTTTTTATTCAGACGATTTAATAATTATTTTGAACACAAAATCGGGTATTGTGATTAAACCATGATAGCAAGATATATACTCTCGCGGACTTTATGTAGGTTTTAATAGAATCTACAAACCCGTAGTACATAATTTTGTTCTATGGTCAATAGTTTTTGCAGCGCACGCAAAAATAGGTTTTTGATTTTACTCCTTGTGTTACAAAATAGCAATTTTATTACAGATCCCTAATTTTGAATTAAATAAAATATACCTTCCTCGATAAATGGACTTCATAACACTGAAAGAATCATTCAAATCGGATTTTTTTTTTGTTTTCTGAACCCGACTTATTAATCCTCAAACGACGAATTCTGTGCTCCAGCTCCAAAGCACACGCGCACACTGTTTTGATAGATATGATTGAATTTAAACTTTGTTTAGCGGTAAGAAAGTGCAAATTTACTTTTTGACGTTAGGAACACACCTTTTCTTCTTTCATTTATTTCTTAGATAACAGTTAGTGCTTGTTATTTAATATGAACCTTTTGTCGAACAGCAATAAAGCTCAAATTGATTCTACGTTTTAGTTAGAAAACGTTTGTATGTGAAAAAGAAAAGGGCTATTTTTAGGGTTTTCCCGGCAATTATTCGTTTTTTTCTCGCCGTAAGAACCATCCTTGGACTTCAACGAACATCTTAAAAAAAGAATTGGCCAAATTGGTCCAGGCGTTATTGAGTTATGCGCTTACAACACATTTTGCGATCCATTTTTATATATAAGAAGATTATAACGTATTTTTGCGTCAAATAGCTTACTAATTTCATAAAAAATATTATTAGGTCATATATTCTCAAATATTTTGAGATGGATAAATCAAGGATAGTAGGTAAATATTGTAAAGGATAGTAAGGATAGTAAGTAAGTGAAAAAAAACCACCAAATGCAACTTTTATACTTAAAATAAAATAAGAAAAATCTTGTTCGGAAAAATTAAATTGTTCGTTAGATTTCTTCAATATCGCAATCTTTAAGTCATCTATAAATCCCTTAACTTCATTGTGATATTCTTAATCATCATGTGTGTACTAAGATACAATTCTGCAAACGTTTAGACGGATTACCTGATGGTAAGTGATCGGCGCCGCCCATGGACACCCGCAACACCAAAGGAGTTGCGAGTGCGTTGCCGGCCTTTTGGGGATAGGGGTAACGGATATAAGGATCGGTATAACACAACGCTGTGGTTGTTTCACGCCGGTATTCTGTGAAGCTGTGGTATCACTCCGGTCGGGCCGTTCGTGACCCATTCGTGTTGAAGCTTGGCCCTCTCACACTAGGATATCGTCCTGTGTCATGAGTGAGTTTACAAATACAATTTTACACACACGTGAAATCCAAACCTAAAACAACAATGGAGGATTACACAAAGAGTTGTTCAGTTCAACACGTTGCGCTGTAGCCAGTTGCCCAGCCATCGCACAAATCGTTGAGTCAAAAAAATATACGACGACGTCGTTTTCATCTTACCATCCCCGGCTGGGGGCGTAAGGACGCGCGATCCAGGCCGATGTTTGCCTCGGCGGTTTCCTTGCAAGCCCGATGTGGTCATATCCGGTGGTATGTACCTATTTTCATTGACAAAAACACTTTTGTTTTCAATAAAAGATAAGGATTAATGTATGTAACTACTTAGGTCAGATAAATTAGAAATAATAACACCGCCGTCATCTTTGGTGCATAGGGACTTTACCGATAAAAATGATAAAAAAGATTAGCTAATTTCTTCAATTTTATGAACCGTTTGGAACGAAATATCCTATTGGGTTCGAATCTTAGCTCAGCGGGATCATTTTAAGGGGCAGTTAAGCTGGGCCAAATTACTAAGGGAGTTTTTAATTAATACTACTGAGTCAAGACTCAGGAAAACCTTACAACAGTTAATCGTATAAGAAATCGTCAGGTTTATGTTATCGAATTTAGATAGTGCCCGTATTTAAGTGCTCTTAGAAATATAAGGTGCAAGATTTTCAATATTTGAGGCAGCACATCCTAATCTAGTGCGTTTACTAACATAGAAAACGACATGCCCATCCAGACCCGGAACAACAATTTGTAGATTACATAAAAGAGTTGTCCCGTGGCAAGGCAGTCAGTCGCCAAGTCGCTGCGCCCACCGCGCAGTCACAATTATTATTATATTTGTAGAGTCAATCTTACTAAGTTCGTATGGTCTGAAAGCTAAACAGCAGAGTACATTAAAATTACAGCTAATCAAATGAGGTGACACAATTATAATTTGTAAATTTTCCTACACCCACTTGCAGTACTTCGTTGCAATTTTATTATCCGAGATAAGATTGCAATTCGAGTACGCCGTCTTTATACCCAATGATTAGGTATGAATAAAAACGCATAATATTAAGTGTTTCTCATAATTTCCGAACAAAGAAACAGATAAGGTTTTTGATATGATAAATCTGTTCACTATATGTACAGGATGACCAATTTAAAGGATTACCTAACTCTAGAAGAGCAGGAGAATGATATAAGTCAATTGTTGTCTCTTTCTTACCCTCCACTCCAATGATATGGAGGGTAAAATTTTGTATGAGGACTTTGTAATTTTCAACGTACAATGCTAAGATATAATTATTTGTAACCAACAAAGACATCGAACATCATTTTTTTTAGTCTGCCACTTACCTGTAATGTTTGTTTGTCTGTGTATACATTCAAAACCGAAGAATAAGAAACCGAAGATTATAGGTATAACTATAATAATCAATTTTAACCGAAATTTTGTATAGATATTTTCTACATACGAATATTAGTACAACATAAAAATTAATTATCATCATGCCATTATAACTAGAACTCAAGATTTAAAACAATATTACGTTCTCGACACTTTATTTTTAAGGAGCAGAGTCAATTTACCGTAAGGTGCGTAGCGTTCCGCGAGCACCCAAAGAGCCAATATACCACCATAGACGGGGCCCTATAGGGCTGATGTTTAGCCGGGGTGGCGGGTTAAGCGCAATGAGTTACCGCGGCCTCGGCCCAGAGGAGGAGAAGGAACGGGGGGGTTTTTAGTCAGTAAGAGTCTGACACTCTCCCGCCTTACCCTGGGCGGGAGAAATCATCTGATGATTTTCCCCTGACAAAAAAAAAAGGTGCATAGCGTTCCACGTGTACTTTAAAGTGCCTACCACTGCAGATGGGGTACAACAGGGGTGATGTTCAGATGTTCCGCGATTACGGGGCAAGTGCAGTATATGCATCGCCTTTACTGTGTGTGTAACTCTTCTAACCTTCTCGCCTCACTTCAGCCAATGGAAGTAATTTGATGATTTTTGCCTTAAACAAACTGTTTGATAAAACACACCGCATATGTTATAAGAAATAACTGATCATACAGTGTTTTCACTTAATATATTTTTATTAGTTGCTATCTACTCTCACGCTGATTTACCCGCCGCTCAGCTCCATTTGATCTTAGCGTAATGTTTTATAGCCTATAGCCTTTAGGAACCTTGTAGCTATCTATCAGTGAAAAAATTTTGTCAAACTGACCAGCGGTTCCAAATAAACATACTGACTTACAAATTTTACCACTTTATAATATTAGTATAGATTTGAGTGCGTTTGACCTCTATCATGCCTGATGGAAAGCAACGCAAACACAAAAATGCCTATTGACTCTTGCCTTGAAAATCCCTAAATCTTAGGTCTTAGGGAACAGCGACGCGGGGAGAGAATTCCACATTTTAGCGGTTTGCATAAACGAGGAGACGAATCGAGTGGTACGGTGGGGAGGAATATCGACCACATATGGATGGAGTCCCTGTTCATGACGCGTAGTTCGGTGGAGAAATGGTGCAGGGGCAGTTAAATTGTGCCTGTACTGAAGCCTGTAGAACACACATAGGCTTGCCACAATTTGTGTCAAGCAGCATAAGAGATCTCTTTAAGAAGAGGCTGCCCGATGCAGGTGATATCTAGAGAAGGCAGTTTCAGAAGGTTCCGCTTTGTATTTAGCGATAAGTCAAATTCTGGGCGGCGTTACTTCGAGGACCACTAAAATGATATGGCGGAGTAACGCTAGTTTAGTTCAAGAATCAAGAATTAGGAATCTACATTTGGTAACTTCACTCCTTATGTTCTCGGGGAAGTGATCGGGGGCGGAGAAATTATTCATATTTATTTTAAAATCATCCTGTAACAACAATTATGTTCTGTTGTTATTTGAAAAGCATTATCTAGGATGCATGTATGACAAATAAGATAAAATAAAAGGGACAATGACGTATAAACAACGCATAATCAATAATGCACTTACACTAGATATCGAAGATATAAATATTAGCATTCGTGCTGCAATATTTATTGCTAAAAATGCCACCGATAAATACATTCGTGTTTTTCGATTTTGGTACGCTGAGAAATCAAGATCTTGATACGTGTGACAGTGTAACTGACTTGTGTCTCCAAGCTATACCACGGCAGCAATATCTCGAGCCCACAAACACCAATGCTCCGAGAAATGGAAAAATATACTTGAAGTTTCCTACTCATAGAATCAGGATCGAAGATTTTAATGTAATTAACAACTTTATAAACAAGCAGGAAAAGCCCGTGTGTCTCTTCGCGCATAATGGTAACAGGTTTGACTTCGCAATCATGAAGCGTCACTTCGAAAACATAAATGTGAGTTTAGCGGATGACGTCTTAGTTGCAGACAGCATGTATGCATTTTACGATATACTGGAAGACCGACGACAAGGTGAGTCGATAAATATAAACATTTCTGTAACGACCATGCAGTTAGTATTGTGAGTGAGGCTGCTGAAGACACAGTCCCCGGCCCACCATCAAGACAATCACGAGAATATGTAAAACCAATTCACTTTGTTCCCCACATTTCCGAAACTTACGCAATTATACTGTTTACAGGAGAGGCTGTTAGAGAAATTTATTTCAAGGGGTATCCTACACCAGCTGATGCATATACACTTCATGATGTCTACAGGAGAGTGGTAACTTACCATCCAGTGGCAGTAAAGCCGCACGTTACTGAAAACGATGTTTACATGCTCTTTAGAATATCACATGCGTTGGGACAGCGATTCTTGGATTGGGCAGACAACGAACCAAGGCAACGTCGCTTTGCACAAGTTCAAAGTACAAGATGTAATGTACAAAAACCATAATTCCATGGTAATAAGTATCAAAATTCGATGTCTTCTCTTAACTTTATTTGGTATGTAATATTTATTATATTTATTTACGTTTTTCATCTTCACTCCATTCCAAATCAATTTACTTGTCATAGAACTAAATGTCTACTGGAAAATTTAATTTTAATTATACGTAGTATGTTACAGCTCAAACTATTTTTTGTTGAGAAATCTCCAATTAATAAATAGCACGATGTTTTGCTCATGTGTGGTTTTGAAGTTTAACTTTATGCAAGTAGGTACATTAGCAATATTGCGGGGCAATAACTTCCAAATGACAGAACCGATTATCTATTTTTATTGCTTAATTATTATGTTTTCGGCTTATTCACGTAATAATTTGAAGAGATACTCTACTAGTTTCAAGCCACGCTAGAGGCCCATATTCATGAGCATTCCGCGCCACGCGACGCGGCGATTGTCGCGCTGCTACTGGCTACTCAAGTCTGCGGGCCGAACGCGTCCTCTGCCGCTCATGAATATGGGCCTCTAGCATGGCTTGAAATTTGTCGAGCATCTCGTCAAATTATTACGTGAGTAAGCCGAAAATATAATAATTAATATTGAATGTTTCACGAAAGTTATAATAAAAATATTTCTATTGCGTTTGGATGTTAACTAACTTATTTTCATTTTGGCTAACGGCACCTTGTACATACATATTTATTCCCGAAAGTACGACCATACGACGCAAGCGCTCCGTGCGCACCTAAAAAAGCCAACAGACCACCACACATAGGGTCAATAAAGATCATAGCGGGTGAAATAACTGCCCACTCCAAAAAGACAAGTTAAATTACCATTTTTATTAATTTCCTATTATCTTTATTTCAGACCGTAGTCCTGCTAATGCCAACTATAGAACCACAACCGGGAACCACTTACATCGGTGTTATATTAACAGAAGCGTTTTTTCCATCTTTCACTATGGAATACTGATTTGAGGTAACTCAGTTGATCTAATAAGACTTCTGAGCCCAAAAACAATGTGTCGGGTCTGTTGGAGCTTATTATCTAGACAGTTGTGTACCATTATTCAAAAACTATAATATCTACTGCTACCATGCCTGTATATTTATAAAAATTGTGTATTAGTTTACAAAAATCAATACTTATTTGACAAAATATAATTATAAGTATTTAATTATAATATAGTAGCATTCTTTTGAATTTTCAGTATGCTTATTTGAGCGCTATATTCGAGACGATATAGTATTTAAAATTGAGGGTGAATTCATCGCACGGTTTGTTTTTTTTTTCTAACAAGTAATTCGCTGCATTTTTCTCACACATGTGTATTGAATAATATATCGGTAAGTAATTGTAATGCTAAACATATACATATTTATATTATTATGTTTGCGGCTTACTCACGTAACTGTTTAATGAGATACTCGCCTAGTTTCAATCCCTGCTGAAGACCCATACCTACTCATGAGCACATGAGACATACAAATAATTTAATATGTCTCAGGGAAAGTTATAATAAAAATATTTCTAAGAATATAATTATATATTTTTGAAAGAGTAATAAAAGAGTTTTATACTCATTCTTCTTCATTCAAATCTACTCTTTGGAACGAGCACCTAGCTTCACTAATGAACTGACTGACTGACTATATTCTATTTTTTTGATGTTTCAATGGTACTTGTTTATGGTTTAGCAGGAATAAATGATTTTGACTTTGGCTTTGTCTATCTTTATAAATATGATAGTGTGCATTAGATAATAACATGGTTTTTTTTTTATTAAACGGTTTCATTTAGCTCACCCCGTTTGTTTTATTTATTCTTGGGTCAAATTTAGTAATTCAGATTTCACCCTCTTCCTGTCAACCGATTGCTTTTGCTCGATGCCAACATGGTCAGGTTCGATGCAGCTAAAATTCAAGCGTGTCTATTTTCCGGTAAAAGGAGTCAATTTAGCCCTGCTCCAACTTTCCGGGGTGTATCCGTGCCGATAACTGACCATCTTGATCTTCTTGCTGACATCTACTCTCAGTTTTGGGCCATACATCGAAGCAAAAGCTCAACTGGCTGCAAAAGAGTTGGGAATCCTCGCAAGGGTTAGACAATACTTTAGGAGTGTATAACTATTGGAATTTCCATGAGCAAGCAAATTGTAAGTAATTTCCTCGCCGTCTGCGGGTCAACTGCCTAACGACGAATTAAACGATTCTTCTATCGCACATTAATTCGATAATTTGTAGACAATTGACGTGCCCCACGGTTTTATTTTAGTCTAGTCTATGCATATGTTTATAATTCCCATGACTGTATCTATTTTATTATTTTTTTGGTGTTTAGTACATTTATGTTGAACATTGCAATATATGTTTAACATAAAACCGTTTAACTTAAAAAGTTTTTTTACCAATTTTTATATAGATACAAAAAGGAAGCAGTCGTGTCTAAGTAAATAATACTGTTTGACTGCACGGTTGGTACGGTGACTGGGCAACTGGCTGCCGTGCAACGTGACGCGGGTTCGATTCGTGCACGGAACAACTCTTTGTGTGACCCACAAATTGTTGTGCCGGGTCAGGGTGTCATGTGTATGTGAAATTGTATGTTTGTAACCGCACCCACGATACAGAAGAAAATCCTAGAGTGCGGCAACGTTTTTTTAAAATGAAAGAAAAGTAAAAAAATACATAGTTTTATTACGAAAGCTTCCTAGAAAGGATTGGCTTATTTTTTACATATAGTATATATTACGTTTTGTTAAATCCTAGATTGAAATTTGAACAAGAGCTCATCGGGCTATGCTCAGTGTAGGATTCAGATTGATAGTGTAGGATTGTAGGATAGATTTTTTTGTCCAATATTACAAAATCTGTTTAACCCTTTTTTTTGTGAGGCGAAAATCATCAAATGACTTCTCCCGCCCAGGGCCGGGCAGGAGGGAGTGTCAGACTCTTACTGACTAAAAACCCCCGTTCCTTCTCCTGCTCTGTGCTGAGGTCGCGGTACCTCATTGCGCTTACCCCGCAACCCCGGCTGAAATATGGCTAAAATTATGTTCAACCCTTGGAGTCCAAAAATTTTCCTAGAAAGTATATTTATATAAAGATCTTTTATTCTATCTACGAAAATATCTTTTATGTCTTATAAAGTTCAACTTTTAGAGATTTTTTCTATATTTTCTAAAGTTAAAAAGTTTTTAGTAAACCCGTATTAATTTTTAAATACCTGTCCAACATTATAACACTCGTTAGTTGGTTTTTTTATACTTTGTACCCGCATAAAAAAATACTAATTTTCATAATAAGTATATATATATTTTCTTATATATTATATATATTTTCATATATGTTTTCATAATTTAATAAAATTTTCTTTCAATAAAAAAAATCTCCCTGCTTTACGTATACCTACCCTATATTACCCTAATAATTTTTTTCTAAATGATATACAAATTCGTGCTAAAATTCAACTTTCTACTGATAACGGTCACTGAGATAATTCGCGGACGAACAGACAGACAGACATGGCGACACTACAGGTAATTGTTCCTAGTTTACTACGGCACTCTAAAAAATACTATGTGCAGGCGTCACAACGTGGACGTAGCCGCGAGCATTAATTAGTAACAATTATAAGCCCCAACACGCTATCCGAAACTATCGAGCAGCAGCCGAGCAATATATCCTGTCCTTATTAATATTTAAGACCGCAAAACGCATTTTGGACGGTGCGATTAGCCCAGTGGCAAGCTGGGCTATATTTATAGCTGAAATTACCGTTTTAGTGGACATGAACTGGCCAAACTTAATTGAAAGCAACATAGTACTTGATAAAGCATTCATATCACAAGAGGAAATCGAATTGGTGGAATAGAGTTAGTTGTATTTGATTTTACTCTAATCCTAAATTGTTAGGTATAAGATGTCTGTGTTCAATTTTATGATGAGGTGAAATTAATATGTGAACTTTTGGCCCTCGAAATTCCTAAATGAGTTTTCTGTTGTTAATATATTATTGTTCGCCAAGCATTAGTTCTAAGTAGTACATATACTACTCTAGCAATTAATCCAAATAACATCTTAATTATATTTAAATCTCGTTGAAATGTCTCATATATATTTTTATTTTCTGAGTTGCGTGTTCATAATTTTATATTCAAATGCTATATCAGTTTGCTGTGCTAATTAATACTAAAAAAATTGTACTAGCATTAATATCCGACTTTTTAGTGGTGTGTGTACGGGCTTGCTCTTTAGTCCGACCTATTATAGAACTATTAAAAAGTGAGTGTTATTTGTAACGCCAATTTATTATTTTGAATTTTATTCCGCATTAATATTTCCTTCACACACACATGTGTAAATTTATGAATCACAAAGAGAAAATATTCGGTGGGCCAGACGTAGAGACATACCTATATATATGCAATATATTTTTCAAATTAAATTTCTTTTTCAATTCTTTCGTACGGGTTTCATTTCTTTAAGGTGTTGAGTTGGGGTTCAAAAACAGCTGAGTCAATACAGGGCTTAGCAAAAGTTAGTGACGTCTTAACAGTGAGCTTTAAGTTAGCTCGCTGCTAAGCAGAACTCCTACTGGGATCTTTGATCAAAGATTATTTAAAAGGTAACATACATATATGTAGGTACTATCTTAAAATTATCAAACAAGACAAGACGTACTCGCAACAAGAATTGCATGAACTATCTCAAAGTACCACTTATATACAGTGAAAGAAAAATTACGACGAAACGTTAATTGTGCGGATAATCATCAAATGACTTTTCCTACTCAGAGGCAGGGCGAGAGGGATTGTCAGAACTTAAACCCTCGCGTTCCTTCTCCTGTTTTAGGCCGAGCCCGCGGTGACTTATCAATATCAGCCCTACAGGGCCCCGTCTGGGGTACTTTAATATCTCAAACGAATTTACTTCAAATTCTCAACACAAATCTTGTCAGTATTAAGCATAATACTTTTGGAATGATCAGTGATCGCATTTTGTCTCAAAACTCTGAGTAGTCCATGCATTATATAAAATTTAAATATTGCAGTACGCAATGCTTGCATAGCTCGATCATTTTATCTGCTATCAAAGCCAAGTTCAGTATCGATTATCGTTATAGCTGTGGAATTTTACAAATCGATAATGAGTCAGCAGCGAATGAATTTACATATATTAGTTTTGTTTCTACAGTGATAGATGATTATGGATACTGAACTTGCCAGGGAGCTGTTCCATGTGCATGCGCCTCAAATAGCCATCAGTCTATAGTAGATTCGGCGGCGCTGATTGCTTACCATCATGTCTGCCCTTTTGCTGACGTATAATATATAATAAAAAATCAACAATATATATATTGCAATCGTTTAAGGAGAAAACCTTAAGTTAAGATATTCGTTACTTAAGTTCAAGCCACACAAAAGTGCACTACATAAATTATTCAGTACGGAATGTGTCTTTGTTTCTGTGTAATTAGCTCAAATTGTTCCCGGGACGGGGCGCGCCGACAAATTTGCAACGAAACGCTGCACTTAAGAGATACACAGTACACGTTAGGCGGGTTGCATTATGAGATTGGAAAATTATATTTTTTTAGACGTAAAAATATTAAGTAAATATTAAGTATATTTTTTTTTTATAAAAATCATATTTTAGCCTATTGAAAATTTGCTTGACTGTGGGTCAAGCACAATTATGTACCGGCCTAGGCCTGGAGCAACAATCCCAATGAAAATAAACAAAAATACACAGTGTGGTTACTATACACTGCGCCTAGTTTTTTTAAGTTACTTATCGCTTATTTGTCATGATTAATTTGCCTTGTAGTAATAGAAGAAAATCAATCATATAGCTAAGCAACGACGAAACCTAAATACCTAACTTCATAAAGGAACTTGGCTGGGTAAATATATTTTAACGTATATTTGGCAACTTGCTTGGTGTTAGGTGATAAGGTGATCCATGATACGCTCATCTATCCAACTTTTCTTTGTTTTTTTTTTTATATATTCGACGAGCAGAGAATAATTTTATAAATTAATGAAAAAAAATACAATTACAATGCCACCTATTAGACTCGTAACAGATATCTATTTACGGCTCCAAATGTTCTTATTTCACCTTCATTCAAAAAAAAGCCATTATCTCTATGGAAATTGGCATTTAAGATTTACAAATCATGTTCTCTTAAATCAAATCAATTTTATGTTTTTTTGTTGACACAACGACTCTTTAATTATGGAACTTTACCTACTTATAAAATAAAGTATTTAAGCAGGTAGTGAAGTATTTCGTATACTTTGATACTTGTGTTCATAATTTATTTGTTTATTGTTTTGAGGTTAACCATTAACTATTTGCACCTTAACATTAGCTTACAAGCATTAATGTGATCCTAAATTGGTGTAACAATTAATTATAGATTAACACCGCTTGTACTTGAAATGTTGCTCTGACTAGATTTTTGCCCCGGACATCGGTACTGGCATTGAGTCAATAGGTTATTTAGTCTTCGTGCCGAATTTGATAATTAGGAAAGAAAAGAAATTATAAATTTTGACGTAAGTAAGAAAGCAGCCTTACTAAGACACATTTACGTACACTGCACTGTTTTCCAAAGAGTGCTGTTGAGTTTGTGTTCTAGCTTGTGAACGGAACGAAACATAATACTTGTATTCGTTTACGTTAAAATTCATCTTTTATTAATAATTATTATTTAAAAATATGTTTTGTTAAAAGCCAAATCAATACAAAATTTGATACTATATGAATGAATGAATGAATGAATGAATGAATGAATGAA